CTGTTTCGCCGTTCAGGGATAATAGGAACATCAAACTCCCCAGATTTGAACCACGATGTTTTGATGGAAACCCGGCTGATTATTTACAATTTGTAAAGGAGTTTGGGATCATGCTGAGTGGTTTTTTATTGAGTGATGAAATTTAATTGATGTATTTGATGAGGTATTGCACTGGAGATGCTTCAAGAGCTATACAGTGCTGTTAGCTCATGCCCCCTAATGAGGGATACGCTGAGGCTATGAGCATACTGCGTCAAAGGTTTGAAAGACCTTCAATGATTGTAAGGAACGTATACGAAGCCGCCAAAGGTAACGGCAGTGAGCTTCAAGATGACTGCAAAGCACTTACTGAGTTTTTAGATAATCTTATGACTCATAAGAATACCTTGACTTCGATGAATTGCATGAGTGACCTCAACTCGAGTATTATACTAGAAGTAATAGCAAGACGCCTACCTACTCGACTGCAAAGGAAGTGGGTGAAGAAGAGCTCCCGTATGGAGGATGAGGGTAAGGAGCCAAGGTTTGATGATATCCTGAAACTGGTAAAACATAGCGTCAATAAATCTATGAGCAAGTTTGCCAGTCTACTACATCTCACCCCTAGAATAGAGCAGTCTGAGAGCAAATTGCAATCATTGATGACGAGTAGGCCTCAGAGAGGTTGTCAATGGAGTTGAAGATTGAACGATCAATTCTTGGTTGTTTGCTCAAACCAACTTCCCCAATGTTCGCGGAGGCATCAATACGACAGTCATCGTCTCATCGGTCGCTGTTCAGAAAAAGTCAGGAGGCAACCATCAGAAGTAATCTTATGATTTATTATTGTAATATTTGTTCACAGACCTTAACAGAAATATTTTTTATATTTTGGTGTTACAATAAAGAATTCCCAAGCGGCCAATCGGTGTTTCGGTTTTTTGTCCGTTATTACTAAGCGTTTCTGTAAAACTGCAAGGAACAGCGTTGGCCTGAGCGTAGCAAGAGCTGGGCATTATCGGTTTATGGGACGTGGCTGACAGATGTGGATATCGAGAAGGCTCCATGATGTATACTAATGCATATAGACCTGGTGAGTGTAAGAAGTTTCGTAGTACATCCTCTACAGATAAGTTACAAGATGCAAGACAAACACGGTTGTGTTTTACACGTTTGCAAGTGGTGCATACAGAAGTGAACTGTGAACCAGTGAGCAAGTTCAGTGATAAGCTAAATGTAAAATCCAGGCCTGACTCCGAATTGTGTGACGATAACGGTGTTGTGAAGAAGTCTGTAGTTGCAACTGGTAAGCCATTGTTGAATAGAGTGTCATAGAATAGAGTTACTGCTTCAGATTGCAGTTCTGACTCGAAAAGTTTACAAAGTATAACTAGTCAGAGTGAAGATATAGAACCTTTAATGATTTGTGAGGAGGAACCAAAATTGTCTACTGCTGTTAACAAAGAGTTTGAAAATGATGAACTTGACGGTAAATTGAATATTTGTGGTAATGATCATGATAGTGCAGATTTGTCGTTGGTTGATCATGATGAAATGGAGGGAATGCCTACTGCCGCTAAGTTAAATAAAGGTTCGGCAGAACTTGAACGTGAAGTGGAATTGAACGCAGATGCAGTTCCAGAAGATGTGCATACTTGTGAGACAGTCAGTGTAATTGATCAGCGTGTAGCCCACATATCATCGGATGACAGTGCTAAACCCGAACTAGTAGTGAAAGACAGCAGTGGTGGTAATCTTGCAGTTGGACAACTATCTGAAAGCCGAAAAAGAAAGGCTTCTGATCCACCGCTAAGTTCATCACCTTGTGTCACACAGTCATCGTTGATGTTTCCATCCACAATGAAATGGACGTCCGTGAACTCACGTGCGTTATGCAATGAATATGATTGTATTGGTGCGTTTGAAAAGACGAAAGATATTGCTCAGTTTAGTGAGAATAAGCCAAGTGTAAACGAGAGAGTAATTGTTAAATTGACTTGCACGAATAAAGGCATTTCTAGTTCCAAGTTACTAATTGAATGCTATTATCTTCGGTGTAAATTACTCTGTTTCTACACTTGGTTGATGAGATATGTCGTGTGTTTGTTCGTCATCTATATTCTACGATACAATGACATGGGCGTGTTGCCGTTCAGATTTGAGGATATAGCTCATAGAAGGAAGTTAGCAAATGAACTCTGCGACGATTTTCCAACCTAGGGCGTCAACCTGAGAAGGGTTGTAGGCGTACTGCTGTAAGTCCTACAATTCTCCAAAGGGTAGCGCATCAATGAGCAGTCCAATGTGCTCGGTGTGTGATTTTGTGCATATGTTCATATTGTATATACTGGATTTATATCATGTCATCTAGCTGTTGGTAATTCTGTTTGTGTCCGGACGACTTCCACTTGTATCATCAACCTGAGAAGGAATGTAGGCGTACTGCTGTAAGTCCTACAGTTCTTCAAGGGTAGTTTGTCGTGCCAGAATCCACAACATTTGATGTATTGATTGTACTTATGTTTGTGTTAAATAATTGTGTGAGTTCCAATTATCGTAATTGTTGGTTAATCTTGTTTGTGTCCGGACATTCCACAACTTACAATCGTCAACCTGAGAAGGGTTGCAGGCGTACTGGTGTAAGTCCTGCGATTCTTCAAAGGAATTACATGGAGACACGATCTGCGAGTTTGTTTGTACTGTTTGTGTATACGTGTGGTGTGTCATATCAATTGGTGTATTTTGGATTCATTGTGTTTACTTGTTGTTTTCGTACCTTGTTGTTATTGCGTAAGTTTGTTAAAATTTTCGTCGTGATTACTTCTGCAGTGGTTTCTTGTCTTCTACATCCATGAATGGATTGATTGATGTTAGAGACAGCAGATGGGTCGTATACGCCGGGGAGGCTAGGCTATTGCTGAGAATGATATACATACGGAGATAATTGTTAGCTGCGGTCCCACACGCCGGGGAGAAAGAGTGTAAACGACTGAGGCTCGCATGCGTCACCGCTACTAGAACTGAGGCAGAATGAGTGACAAGCGATTGCAGTGGTAATTGGTAGTGAGTAGATAAGAGGATGTGCGTAGAGTATCATGAGGTGGTGCTATGGTCACGTTAAATTCTGCAAGAGTCATTCTAGCAAGTGGAGATTGTGTTGCAAGATGTCAAGAGGGGGTGCCAGACAAGTCTCATAAACCGTTAATGCCCAGCTCTTGCTACGCTCGGGCTCACGCTGTTCTTAGAAGATTTCTCAGAAACGCTTTGTTATAACGGACGCAAAAACCAAAACACCGATCTGCCGTTTGATATTTCTGTATTGTTACACCAACATATAAAAGGAATAAGCGAACTAAGCAAACTAAGGTCTGAAAACAAATATTACAATAATAAATCTCTGTATTACTTCTGACGATGTTTCAATCTTCTTTTTGAACAGCGACCGATGAGACGATGACTGTCGTATTGATGCTTCCGCGAAAATTGGGGAAGTTGATTTTAAGCAAACAACCAAGAATTGATCGTTCAATCTTCAACTCTATTGACACCCACCGGCAAAAAAGGGATCCAACCCTTTTTTCCTTCACGATCAATACACGTTGACTTGGATGCCATTGCGAGAACCTGGGTCACACGGACAGAGCTGAAATGGAAAACAAACAGGAAAGCCAACACACCACAAGCATACCCACAGCACAATCACACACATCGCTGACGACCTGCGCCTCCAGATAGAGACCCCCTCTTGACATCTTGCAACACAATCTCCACTTGCTAGAATGACTCTTGCAGAATGCAACGTGACCATAGCAGCACCTCATGATACTCTTCAAGCATCCTCTTTTCTATTCACTATCAATTATCACTGCAATCGCTTGTCACTCATTCTGCCTCAGTTCTAGTAGCGGTGACGCATGCGAGCCTCAGTCGTTTACACTCTTTCTCCCCGGCGTGTGGGACCGCAGCTAACAATTATCTCCGTATGTATATCATTCTCAGCAATAGCCTAGCCTCCCCGGCGTATACGACCCATCTGCTGTCTCTAACATCAATCAATTCATTCATGGATGTAGAAGACAAGAAACCACTGCAGAAGTAATCACGACAAAAATTTTAACAAAATTACGCAATAACAACAAGGTACGAAAACAACAAGTAAACACAATGAATCCAAAATACACCAATTGCTATGACACACCACACGTATATACAAATATTGCAAACAACCTCGCCGATCATGTCTTGGTGGAATTCCTTTGAAGAATCGCAGGACTTACACCGGTACGCCTACAACCCTTCTCAGGTTGACGATTGTAAGTTGTGGAATGTCCGGACACAAACAAGATTAACCAACAATTACATCAATTGGAACTCACACAACTATTTAACACAAACATAAGTACAATCAACACATCAAATGTTGTGGATTCTGACACGATAACTACCCTTGAAGAACTGTAGGACTTACAGCAGTACGCCTACATTCCTTCTCAGGTTGATGATACAAGTGGAAGTCATCCGGACACAAACAGAATTACCAACAGCTAGATGACAGATGATATCAATTCACTATATACAATATGAACATATGTACAAGATCATACACCAAGCACATTGGACTGCTCATTGATGCGCTACCCTTTGGAGAATTGTAGGACTTACAGCAGTACGTCTACAACCCTTCTCAGGTTGACGCCCTAGGTTGGAAAATCGTCGCAGAGTTCATTTGCTGACTTCCTTCTATGAGCTATATCCTCAAATCTGAACGGCAACACGCCCATGTCATTGTATCGTAGAATATAGATGACGAACAAACACACGACATATCTCATCAACCAAGTGTAGAAACAGAGTAATTTACACCGAAGATAATAGCATTCAATTAGTAACTTGGAACTAGAAATGCCTTTATTCATGAAAGTCAATTTAACAATAACTCTCTCCTTTACACTTGGCTTATCCACACTAAACTGATCATTGATATTCGTCCTTTCAAACGAACTGGTACTACCATAGTCATTTCACAAGTTAGTTGATTTGGTGGGTGTCTGTTTCATTGTGGATGTCAGCACCAACGATGACTGTGTGACACAAGGTGATGAACTTAGTGGTGGATCAGAAGCTGTTCTTGTTCGACTCTCAGATAGTTGTCCAACTGCAAGATTACCACCACTGCTGTCTTTCACTACTAGTTCGGGTTTAGCACTAGCATCTGATGATTGGTGGGCTACATGCTGATCACTCACACTGACGGTCTCACAAATATCCATAACTTCTGCAACTGCATCTGCATTTATTTCTACTTCGCGTTCAAGTTGTACAGAACCTTTGTTCAACTTAGCGGTAGTAGGCATATCCCTCATCTCATCATGATCAACCAAAGACAAATCTGCACTATCATGATCATTACCAAAAATATTCAATTTACCGTCAAGTTCATCATTTTCAAACTCTTTAATAACAGCAGTAGATAATTTTGATTCCTCCTCACAAATCATTAAAGGTTCTATATCTTCACTCTGACTAGTAATACCTCCTAAACTTGTAGGGTCAGAACTGCACTCTGAAGCAGTAACTCTATTCTGTGACACTCTAATCAACAATGACTTACCAGTTGCAACTACAGACTTCTTCACCGCACCTTTATCGTCACACAATTCGGAGTCAGGCCTGGAGTTTACATTTAGCTTATCACTGAACTTGCTCACTGGTTCACAGTTCACCTTTGTATGCACCTCTCGCACACGTGCAAAACACAACCGTGTTTGTCTAGCATCTTGTAGCTTATCTGTTGAGGATGTACTACGAAACCTGTTACACTCACTAGGTCTATATGCATTACTAGACATCATGGAGACTTCTCGATATCCACCTCTCTGAGGCCTACTCGTCATCAATGATTGCATTTTGCTCTCAGACTGCTCTATTCTACGGGTGAGATGTAATAGACTGGAAAACTCGCTCCAAGATTGATTGGCACTATGTTTTACCAGTTTCAGGATATCATCAAACCTTGGCTCGATACCCTCATCCTCCATACGGTAGCTTATCTTCACCCACTTCCTTTGCAGTCGAGTAGGTAGACGTCTTGCTATTACTTCTAGTATAAAACTCGAGTTGAGGTCACTCATGCTATTCATCGAAATCATTCCATTCTTGTAAATTAGCAAATTATCCAAAAACTCAGTGAGTGCCTGGGAGTCATCCTGTAATTGACCACCATTATCCTTAACATCCTCGAATAATTTCCCTGCAATCATCGAAGGTCTTCCAAACCTTTGACGTAGTATGCTCATAGCCTCGTAGTAGCCCTCTTTCGGCTTCATAAACGTACAGCAATGTATAGCCCTCGCAGCATCTCCAGTGCAATACCTCATCAAATACATTAACTTCATTTCATCAGTTAATAGAAAACTACTCAGCATGATCTCAAACTCCTTTACAAATTGTAAATAATCGACCGGGTTTCCATGAAAACACCGTGGTTCTAATTTAGGGAGTTTGATGTACCTATCATCCCTGAACGGCGAAACAGTAACATCAACCATGTCATGCTTAACATCAGACACATCGTTACAATTAACAGACAAGTCAACATGACTTACTTTCCTGTTTGCATCCAAGACACTCTGTCCCTTCTTTGACCCAGGCATTGTTGAACTTGACCAAATTCCAAAATCGTTCCAGATATTGCTTGTTCAAAGAGGACTTGACCGGCACCAGGAAAGATGAACGGCGACTATACAAACTTTCACCAACTGTTTGAATCCGCCTGATCTGTTTCTATCGTCAGAAACTGTCAGCCAAGTCTCATAAACCGTTAATGCCCAGCTCTTGCTACGCTCGGGCTCACGCTCTTCTTAGAAGATTTCTCAGAAACGCTTAGTTATAACGGACGCAAAATTCAAAACAGCGATTGGCCGTTTGATATTTCTGTATTGTTACACCAACATATAAAAGGAATAAGCGAACTAAGCAAACTAAGGTCTGAAAACAAATATTACAATAATAAATCTCTGTATTACTTCTGACGATGTTTCAATCTTCTTTTTGAACAGCGACCGATGAGACGATGACTGTCGTATTGATGCTTCCGCGAAAATTGGGGAAGTTGATTTTAAGCAAACAACCAAGAATTGATCGTTCAATCTTCAACTCCATTGACAGGTCGTCTCTATCTGGAGGCGCAGGTCGTCAGCGATGTGTGAGATCGTGCTGTGAGTATGCTTGTGGTGTGTTGGCTTTTCTGTTTGTTTTCCATTTCAGCTCTGTCTGTGTGACCCAGGTTCTCGCAATGGCATCCAAGTCAACGTGTATTGGTCGTGATGGAAAAAAGGGTTAGATCCCTTTTTTGCCGGACAGTATCAATGTAGTTGAAGATTGAACGATCAATTCTTGGTTGTTTGCTCAAACCAACTTTCCAAATTTTCGCGGAGGCATCAATACGACAGTCATCGTTTCATCGGTTGGAGTGAGGATATAGGCCGACACCAGGTGTTATCGCGCAATGCCATCGGTTACCGCGCTCACGTCAACAGACGTTATAATCACCTATTTTTGTTGGAAATAGATTATATTTGACTAGTTTTAGACTTCTGTAGCCGGATGGCAGTATTTTGCTGTATTTTGTTCTTAGTAGAGCGTAAAATTGTATATTATAGCTCGGACGAATTATCAACGAAGAAGTCATCCTTTTTAAGAAAGTTCGCATAGAAAGACTATTATTTGCATTATAGTGTGTTGAGGGTTTGTTTTTTTTCGAGTTGTTTCAGATCTTAAGGTTGTAAATATACTGCAGTCAGTGGCTGTTGTCATTCCAGTGAATCTATTAGAATCTGGCCTATGAAAGATAAATAGCATGCAGGCATAGGTTAGATGTGTGCTTTGAACATGTTAAACTTTTCTGTTATCATCCGGGATGACTGAAATATTCCATAACACATTGACGACATTATGCGATGAATGAGACAGGCTGCTGAATTTCCTGTTGATTATATCTATTCTGATGAAGTTCCTAGTTAAAAGTGCTTGGGCGAAGATGTAAAAATAGTTTAATTGACATTTGCACATGGAATTTCACAAGGCCTTAATTGCTCAGTGCATGAAATGGCATCAGAGTATATTGACATCAGTGTTCATTGTGTCTGGAAGAATAGTATAAATAGTCCTTCTCAAATGTCAGAGTACTTAAAATTAGTACCAGATTTCTGTCGATTAGTAGCTAGCGGCTGTGTCGTACAACTACTACACCTGTTACATAGGTTATATCAATCTTAAAAATTATTTTGCTTCACATCACTAAGATATTGTGAGATCCTTAATGACTTAATTGTGGCTATGAAATATGTAGAAGATGCACTTATGGCTGATATATTTAAAGCAGTTATTATTAAACAAGTTATCTGTAAGCAACTTGTGATGTTCTGAATACTGCAAACTGTTGATAAGAAACTGCATCAAAGGAAAAAATGCTGAACAGCTAGAAAATACTACTGCAGTTTCGTTGGTTGTTACCTTTTGCATTTGTAACTCATTATTCCAAAGCTGCGATTGACGCCAAACCATCCATGGTACCCCACAGGCCCTATAGAAATTCGTGAGACATCTTACATGTCAGGTTGTCTTCCATATTATAAGGTTGCAGATCTTTCAATTCACCTCTCACCGAAGTATCACTTATCTACTTCACTATGGTCTTTTCATTTGTGCACTATTACACTGCATTTTATGTTAACTGGATATGCCTTTATGCTTACAGTCTATTTGCTTTTATTAGAAACACAACAACAGCAGTGTTGGAACAAAGCTGTATTTTCATAGAAAACATCATATTTTCTATCCTTACACCAATATGGTTGGCATTAAACATTGCAAATGTATACTCACATTCCAACGACATAGCACTTAGCCAAATGTACGCTCCTTAATCAATAAGATATCTGAACTAAGGACATTATTATTAGTCGCCAAGCCTACTGTAGCTCTGATTACTGAGTCATGGTGCTCATCCTCAGTACTTGATGTGCATATAGGTATCGATGATTACACTGTACACCGTGCAAACAGAGATTGCAAGCGTGGTGGAGGATGTCTCATATATATACATAACTCATTTGTAGTCAGTAAGGTGGAAGATGAAACAATGAATAATGTACCTGACTCACTCTGGGTTGTCTTACATGGAGATAAGTACAAACTTCTCATAGGCTGTGTTTATCGAGCACCAAGCGCAACAAAAGAAACTGATGCGTTATTAGCTAAATCGTTTGCACATGCATCCTCGTTTAGTGCTAATTACAAAATAATTGCAGGGGACTTCAATCTTCCAGAAGTTAATTGGCTAACTAGTTCCGGCCCCCAACGCTTCGACGAATTACTTGCCACTATAGACTGTTATGGATGGCAACAACACGTCCAGACACCTACTCGTGGGGACAACATTTTGGACCTTGTTTTTTGTCATGACACAATCCCAGTATCCACTTATGTTGGTAATAGATTTTCCAGTAGTGACCATAGAATGGTACTCTGCTCTCTGCCTTTCTCACCACTAAATACAGGAAACAAACAAGACTCAGGAAGCACAATATGTCGTAGTTACAAATATACAGACTGGGGATTAGTCCAAGAACTTATTCGACTCTGTCAATGGGATGACTATTTTACCACTGACTCCCTGGAGGCCTTAGTAACCCTGTTTTACAGGAATGTTACCCTTTGTCTAGATACAGTTGCCCCAAATAAAATAGTGAAATTAAGTAGACACCGAACTGAATATATTCCAAGGGCACACCGTAATAAGTTAAGGAAACTGAAGAAACAGTACTATTCCACTAAGGACATATCACTATTGCTCTCAATCCACGAGTCTCTTGAATCTATCAAGCGCCTACGTTCTCAAAAGGACCTCGACGAAGAGTTAACGGCACTTGAAAGTACCTCCAAAGTTTATAACTTAACGGCACTTCTTAAAAAACGAATGCAGTCAGCGAGGGAAATCCCATACTTACTTCACGACAAAGTAATCTACAATGAACCTGCCACTATCTGTGAACTGTTCAGTGATTGGTTTGCAAACTTTAGTTTAGAAACACATATGCCTGGTGAAACCGCTCCCCTTACTATCTCTTCCCTTGAAAGCATTGTGTTCACTAATCAGTTAATAGTACAAGCAATTAAAAGCCTTAAACCTTCCACTAGTACGGGACCGGATGGCCTCGCTTCGATAATTTTCAAAAACAGTGGGTGTGATATACCCCTGTTACTTCTTAAATTCTTCTCAATATCTATGGACACTGGCACTTACCCTAGTGAGTGGAAAACTAGCTTCATAATTCCACATTACAAATCTGGTGATAGGGCAAACGTCCGCAATTACAGACCCATAAATATAACCCCAGTTATCTCACGAATCATGGAGAAAGTTGTAAAGGATCAATTGTCAGACTACCTAATTAGGGAGGATCTTGTTACAAGGTCTCAACACGGATTTCTCAAAAATAGATCCTGCGTTACTTGCCACTTCGACTTTTTCAACTGCATCACTAGTAATCGCGAAGCACGTAAGCTAGTCGTTGTTCTCTACTTCGATATATCTAGGGCATTTGACATGGTATCTCACAGTATTCTCTTTGAGAAGCTGTACTCTTGTGGAATTCGCAACCCATTACTGAACTGGTTAAAATCATTTCTAAGCAACAGGGTACAAATAACCAAAGTTGGATCTGTATTGTCTCACCCTAGGCAGATCTCAAGTGGGGTCGTGCAAGGTAGTGTCCTAGGTCCACTTTTATTCACAGTTTACATTAACAGCATTTGCAAGTGCTTCACCTCAGGTAAACCATTCCTATATGCTGACGACCTCAAAGTCGTCTACTCCTGCTACACTCATGAATTAAGCGATATG